GGAAAATGAAGCCTTTTAGACTTCTTGGCCGTGGGTTGTTACGGTTCTCCTGCTGGTTGTTCAAAACTGAGCAATATTGCTATGGTTTTCATGTAATTCAAGCTAGAAAAGTTAGAATGGCCAAAATATAGAGAAACTGTCCAGTTATAGTGTGAAGCAGCCTAGGTAGTGAAAAGGCAAGTAGAAGATACTGATAGATCAGATGTGATCTCTTGCAGTTCTGGCTTATATCCCCAAATAATTGTCTTTAACTACAGAGCTGCATGGGGCAGAGCTGAAGCTTTGTAGCTTTCAGTGCAACCCATTTTTGTATCTGTATTTATAGCCTGGTTTGAGCAATATTTAAAAATGTTCATGCCCTTGGGTGAAGTTCAGCAGCAGGATGCCTTCTGCACTCCTGTTTTGCAATAAATTAATATAAGTACATGGGATGTTTGGGAATTGTTTATGTACACTGTGGTTCCCTTCCTGCAGGTTGGTGAAGACGGCCTTCAGATCTGTGTTGAGATATGTGGATGTGCCCTACAGCTGGACCTCCGTGAAGACCCCAGCATGAAAAGTCTTATTTATAAAGCAATCGCTCATTTTCTGCCAAATGACTTGGAGATCCTCAGAATTTGTGCTCTCTCCATCTTTTTCCTGGAGCGCACCTTGGAATCTTACTACACTGTTGAGCACTTGTACAAATGTGCAGATGAAGAATACAATGAGTGCACTAGTTCTGTTCAGAACCGCGTGCGGTTCGAGCTGCTGCCCATCTTGAAGAAAGGATTGTTTTTTGATCCTGAGTTCTGGAATTTCTTGATGATCAAGCAGAATTGTTTAGCCTTGTTGGGGGATAAAGCCTTGGATGGCTTGAGTGAAAGTACACTGGAAAACTCTCCTGCAAACACAGAGAAAACAGCGGAGTACAGGGCTCTGGGTGAGGAACGTGGCTGTTTAACAGATGTCAGCAATGGGGAGCTTGACCCTGGAAACTGCTCTGGAGCCCGCTCCAAAGGGAATGCCAGAAAGAACCACCAAGCTCTTGAGGCATCCAAAACATTGGATCAGGCTGAACCAAGGCACCGCTGTGTGATCTGCAACAAGGAGTTCCTTGGGGATCACATAGTGAAACACGCACAAGCTCACCAAAAAAAGGGCAGCTTCTCCTGCGTGCTTTGCACCAGGAAGTTCAGGCAGAAAGGACTCATGCTGAAGCACTTAAGGAATCATGTCAGGAAGATAGAAAGGCAACATCTTGCTGCAGCTCTTGAGGCTGGTCAGGAGGCTCCTGTTCTTCATGAAGTGCAATGTTCTGGTGTTTCTGTGTCTCTTGAAAATGGGAATTCTGAGGGTTCCAAAGATGCTGAACCAGAGGCTACAGTAGCTGTGGTAGCTCCGAGTTCTGATCAGGTCCAAGAGGAGGCTGAGAATGCGGAACAGGTTTTTGAGGCAGTGGAAAACCATCTAAGTGAGCAGGATGATGCTACTGAAAACAGTAGTGACAGCTGCTTTAATAATGTTCCTGATGCATTAAGTACAGAGAGTTTGCCTGAGGATGATGAGAGCTCCAGTAAAGAGTCACCCATTCTGCATAAAGTGAATGGAGTGTTTTGCCCTCAAAAAGATATTGATGCTTTGGATGAGGAAGGGATCTTTAAGTGCCCTGCTAATGGTTGTGCTAGAGTATTTAAAAAAATAAGATTCCTCAACAAACATGCCAGAAAAACTCACCCAACTGATCTGAAGGTGCAGCAGCATATAATGAAATGGAATAAAGGAAAATGCCGCTTCTGCCAGAGGAAATTCGCTGATTCCCAACATTTTATAGACCACCTGAAGAGACATGTGTATCCAAATGTTTACTTTTGTTTACACTTTAATTGTAATCAGAGATTTAAGCTGTCGACTGAGCTTGCAGAACATACAAAAAGTCACAGTGTGTTTAAGGCTCAGTGCAATTTCTCAAACTGCTGTGAGCTATTTGAGGAGCTCCCTTTGCTGTATGAACACGAGGCTCAGCATTATCTAAATAAAACCCCAGAATGTTCAGAAGATGCAAGTGAAAAAGATTCTTCAGATGATCCTTCAGAACTTTGTAGTAACCAAGATGAGGATGAATCCGTTAATGAAAAAGAAACTGTAGATTTACCAATTCCAACCTGGAAGTCAAGGAAGGATTCTGCAGAACCAAAGACATACATTCAAAGTGTGGAGAAGAAAGCAAATAATGTAATTCACAATGGAAATGAAAGCTCATCTGAGGGTAGTGCTCCAGTTTTAAGTTTGATAGACCAAAAGACACCTGTGTTACAGCCAAATCCTGAAAACTGTCATGTTGTTAGTGACCAACTGGTCAATGGGCACAGTGACCCAGATCAGACATCATCCAAGGCAGCCCAGGTACCTTTGGACAGAGTAGCAGATGAAACAAGGACAGAAAATGGGTCAGTGTTACCAGTTTTACAGAATTGTCACGATGCACCACAAAATAATGCTCCTGCAGCCTCACAAGTACCTTCTAAACCAAATCAGACAACAGAGACTACTTCATATGGTGTCATCTTAACAAAACCCTACGTCAGACCATTGCCTCCCAGTTACCTTGATGAACGTTACATTAGCATGCCAAAACGGAGAAAAATTTTGGCTGATGAGGTAGATGCTTATT